CCGCCGTAATTATTGCAATTTCTGTTGTAGTTTGCGCCACCTTAAGTACCATCTTTGTGAAGGTGAAAGAAGTAGCCTCGAAACACCGTGTACAAAAAAGACATAAATTCTAGTACCATTTGTCTCCATGACCTTCCAACTTTTAATGCTCATCAAAGACGTGTGTCTCTACAATCTAACGCATAACCGCCACAAACACACCTGGACCTTCCCGCAACCCTTTATCAAATGCTCCTATTACTCTCGAGAGAGTATCTGTAAATGCAAAACCTGAAGCGTAACAAGCAATGAATACTGTTTAAGGGTGCCTAGTCCTACTTGAGCGCATTTTCCTGACCTCATCAGTACTTTCATAGCCCATATAATCACAATGTATATTCTCCTCGTCCTCACAGCCCTGTTCTAACTGTGAACACATAGAACTACATGGAACCCTATCCGTGTACAAGACCCTCAAATACTCATCATTATCTCCTGCGGGGCTAGCCCCAGCACGTTTTATTAAACAACGCCTTATATGCTATATCCTTCCATCAATGGAGTAGGGACCTTTCTTGAGTGACACTCTAAACACCATTACGTGCTGTTTGTGGGATCATGTTTACAATACCGTGTGTGTTCTATATACCCTCACTCTCACAGTCATTATGTAGATGCAAGGGTTTATGTCCACACAGATACCCGTGTTCTGGCGCTGTGACAGATGATACATGGTATACAACGGCGATATAAGGTTAGATATGGAAGTTTGAATGAAGACGGGAAGAAACAACAACCTTGCATCCACCCTAGCATGGTTTTACCAGCGTCAAATGATATTATCGCTTTTTGGAGAGTATCAATAGCGTCTTTGTTGTCAGAGGTTTAGGAAATGCTTACTAATTTCTTTAAAGACATTTTCACGAGATTTTTTTTGGGGGGGAGCCCCTTACTTGTTTTGATGTTTTATCTGTTGAACATCACGTAAAGGAAAGAGACACGCATGTCATCGTTCGTGTAATATATGTCGATAGGAGCAGAGGTCAGCATTGGGCCTTCGTTTGGTGTAAAATGGCAAAAAAAAGGCTCGTAGTCTTTTATATTTGCAAATATGAATATGCATTAACCGTCAGTGGTATTCAAGCATTGATCAAATAAGTATTGAACTTTGTACATCCTTAAACGATATGAGCATATAACACTCTACTTGTGTCCCCTATTAAGAACTTAAGAACTTCACGTTACGATGAGTGCACATAATATTATTTAGTACTACATCAACCAATACTAATGGCTTGGACACTGAGGCAAATTACAAAGTAAATCCATGTGTAACAAAAGTTGACAAATAGGATCAAATGTCAAATCTTCGAAACTAATTCTCTCAAACATGAGAGCGAGGAGTCACCATAACCCTGGGATAGACGAGCGAACCTTTCATGTCTGGTCTACCCAATCCGTCTTCCCTTGTGCTAAATATCGAGGGTATAAAAGTAACACGTTGTCCGGGGTTTCGTGAGGTTAGTGCATTCATTACAAAGAGACCTTTTTTCACCACCACGGGACCACACAAAGAAACAGGTACCTCAGATATGTTTGTAGCTGTGATGTAGAAAAAATCATGTTTTACCGCATTTTGTGTTTTGTATAAAATCACGAAAATCATATTTTACCGCATTTGTGTTTTGTATATTTCCTTGTTGTTTTTCTTCTTCTTTTTAATCGGAATACATTTACATTTGAAACTTCAGACTTGCTCGTGCAGTTTCAAATGTAATTTCCAGCCACCAGATTATTTGAAAACACAAAGAGGTAGTTTTAAGATTAAGCTCAACGCTGACATACTATAGTTTAGATAAAATCTTGATTTATAGCTAAAACACTCGGAGCAATAACGATGGTCCGACATTTACAGCAGTGCCGGTTTCCAATGTGCATTTATAAAATTATGTAGACACCCAAGTTCCTGTTTGTTCTCATCCACGGGTTTTGTTCAAAATTATCTGTTCGTGTCTTCTCCATTGTCCAATAGGGTGTCCTGATCTATTTCATCGATACATGTACATATGATTTATGTATTGTCATAATAAGATACTGACTGCTATCTGTTCCATTTGCATGAGGTATGGATGAACCTGTACTTTATAAAATATATATGGTCGCGGGGAGCGTGGTTAAAGCGTTCGTTCGTCACACCTAAGGCCCGAGTTCGATTTTCCATATAGGCTGAATGTGTGCAGCCCTTTTGGGTGTCCTCCATCGTTATATTCGTGGAATATTTGAAAACGCGACGTAGAGCCAGACTCACTCACTCACTCACTTACTCACTCACTCACTCATTCATGCTTATGGAACTACATCATATCCTGCAATATATCAACTTTGACAATATATTAAAATTATCTTACATGGAAACTCATCTGGAGTTGACAAAACGTTTGAACAAAATCTTGCACGTTCAGTATTTGATTATTTGAAGTACCTCAAATATAACAAAATATTAGTCTTTAAGTAAAGCCTTTTTGAAAATATATATCTGCTCATTTACCCAAGGCATACTTTTTCAAACCGAGATGATTTGACGGTAAAGCAATAAAACTATTTTTTGCCCCAAACCGTCCGTATATAACGCAGTAAATTACCCTTTTCATATATCTATTGTAGAAATATCTAAGAAAACCATTAAACTCAACTTCTCACCAGATCTTATTTTGAGACTAAGAGGTACTTAGCCCCCGCTGTTGTTCCATGGGACTCTTGACAGAAGAAAGGGCGTGTCATCAATTGGCTTCTTCAGTACATAAAATCTTGTGTTATACAAGAGTGTTTATCATCATGGAAGTGACCTGCTATTACAAGCCCGTCTACTGGGGTCATTCACACAGGTTGTAAAATGATATTAAGCTCCAGGCGGGACTGAACGTCAATCGCCCTAAAATCCATTGCTGGTCTGTTCACGTCTATGAAATTTCTCTCTAATCCAATAACACCCCTTTGAATGAGAAGAAATTACATTTTCTACCCCACCGGCTTTACGGGGAATCTGTGTACCACAAGGAGTGTTTTCGGTTCATAGGGTTTACTGGAATAAAGGTGATGAATATGTACGTACAATGTTACCATTCTCAAGTTGTACCACATGATGCCAGTCTCGAATACAACGTTATATTACCGTACACCATCCCTTGCAGCTTTTTAATATGGGATAATCTTTTATATCACGTTTAAATCCTGTATAGATTAAAGGAAAGAATTACACATAAAGCAGAATCGTTCCTCTATTCGTCTGCCAAAGGGAGGTTAGGAACATAGATTTCCATAAACATGGAAGATAGTTCTATGGATATATAAATTCTTTATTATAATATATGCAACGTTTCGGTGTAGATGCTCGCACCGTTATCAAGCAAGTGATCACACCAACTTCTAAATGCCTCACAAAGAAGTAGATTTCCATGGATGACGTTTTACGTTTTATTATGAAAATTCAAGGAAACACGTCATAATATAACAGGCGGGAAATGTAATTAGCGCACAATACTGGACTCATTCAAGACTAAAGCTTTCTAAAGTTTTATGACAGATATGTGGATAGAATTTCCGTCAGTGACAAAAATGATATCCGATGCAATTTCATATTTTGACTTGTACCATATGTTGCCGATTTGTTTCAGGTTAACAATGACTGCATATGTTAATGACAGGTGCCACCGGTGAAGCAGCATACACCCACGTTATCGCGAACACTCAGCTTTGCTTTAATGATTTCATAAACACATGTTTGTGGAAAGAGAGTTTCAGCTTTCGCTTATATTTGTCAAAATGGTTTTGTGAGATATTTATCCTCTGCCTAAATATGCTGTCACTGGTACATCGTATTGGAATCGTTAATTCATTCTTTTTGCGTCGGCTGCGTGTGTACATGTATGTAGAGATATGGGGTCTTATTTGTCACAAAAATATACCTGCTTGAGTTGCGAGATACATATTCACAATCCCTGGTTAGTTTCATGACCATCATACATCCAGCCGCCATCTAACGGACCTCATCATTGTGTGAATCCGACTCCTCGGTTCTTCACGACCCTTTCTGACAAGATTGCGTGCTGGGAACGTTTTCGGAATGTGACATAAATCATTGACTGATGAGCACATGGCGTCTTCCGAGTAATATATACCCCTGCTACCCGCTAGGGTGGTGGATTTATGTCATAATAAACCCATATCATTCGGAAGTGTCCATTCTCCTGAAAGTATGGCTCGGTGGCAAAAGACCTCCATTGTAGCTCCCACTGTGTAACGAGTTCAACACACATACCCTATCATGTTTCATAAATATACATACGTATGGGGTTTTAAGTTTATTTTACAGCTATGTAAACGTAATCTGTTATGGCTGAAAAGTACATTTTATTCGACAGTCAGATGTTTGTTGAGACACCTGTGTTTTGTGTTCATATATTTTAAAGAGATACAAGATGTAGAGTGTTTCGTGTTCTCTCCACATGTTGTGTGGAAAAGATGTCAGCAGATACCTTTCTGTTTTCAGAACGTTGCTTTTACAGAGATTTCTTCTGAATATGGAAAGGTTTTAATATCTTGCATAAATTTCCCCGTATGTTATTTTATGTAAAAGCAGAGTGTTCATTTGTGTTTCAGTGCTACATTTGTCAAGTATATATCTGAACAATGACACCGTGGAAATTCCGGATACCATCATGTCCGCCAACAACCTATGATTGTAGAAAGAAGCGTCTTCATGGAAACAGAATCGCCGAAACCCTTTCAATATCCATCAGAAATCGATAGTACGATTCTGACTATATAATGAGCATATCTTTATGAAACACTATCAAAACAATGATGACACCGGGTGTCCACGTTCCGTGACATGGTTAACTGGGTGTCATCGTATCCTGACGCTATGGGTCGCTGCTGACAATGTGTCATTATATACAGCCCGTCTCACTAAGGCAGGAATACCTGCAACAAGCGACTTAAGTTACAACCAACACAACTGGTATTTGCACACAAGTTTTATTATCAAGGTATCATAAATATGTAAACATGTACAATCGTGGTATAAAATCTTGCTATTTACAATATCACAATAATGCGGTAGAAAGCCAAATCACAAAGGTGTAAAGCTGTTCTTGGTGGTGTTAAGCCTTGTCCTCTGCAGTTATCTGCCCTTGGCACGATTCCGTCATTTCCGGTCATATTGCACACTTCTGGAACACTGTGGTGTCAATATTAACGTCGTTGTTAATCAAGCGACGTAATGTCAGTTCTAGAAGAAGACCACAAATACCCAAACGAATCATCAAACTGGCAGTATGCGGGCGAGGATTGACCTTGAATATGGCACAGTATAAGAAGATTCATCTTTGGTTCATCTTCTTGAGCTGAGACGATCGAGCAAATCTGAAATAATAGAGAACAATGGACTATGTGAAACTTTTCATTACTCAAGCATCAAAAGATGTTTTAATTAAATTTGTGGTTGAACTTTGGGTCTTCTTTCGATAACATTATCTTCCAGTTTTCACAATTAATTTAAGTTTAACAGACGTTGCACTATTAATGTCAGGAACATCTGCGGTTGTTACTTCATGATATTGCAACACTGTCAGAACACACAAAGACTGGGTAATTAAGAGAAATAACGCTGACTCGAAATGATGGGAATAATTTCCACTAACCACGAGATGAGCTTTGTTCCTCGAAATAATGCAGATCCTGTCTTATTGTGCTCGCTTGTCAACCGGAAGTACATCCTTGGGTGCAGGTGTCTGAACCGGAAGTGAGTAATGCGCTTGGTCCTGCGTTGAGTCCTCTGCTGCTTTCTGAGCCATTAACGTTACAATCATCTGTTTGATGTGGTCCATGTCTGCAACCAAAACAAAGGACATTAACAAAAGAAAACGTGGGATTCAAACTATTTGAAATAATATGTTTCAGAATAATTTGTTACATTTCGAAAAAAGAGAAATTTCATTAAAATGTTATTATTAATATCAATTATCTTTCGATAAATGACTGTATTTAATGCAAATCGACGGTTTTCTTTACAAATTTAGATCAATAACGTTTTTGCCTTTGAAGATATTCTTGTCCTTTCCTTTACACGCTAATGCTTAAAATTAGAGATATTATTAGTCATGCTAAAGAGTCATTAGTGGTTGGTGCTTGAACCTTGCAACAACGGTATGGAATGTGAAATCCGTGAACGCTGTATTTACTGTGTACATCATGCCATCGACTCATAAACTGTTCTCTGCACTATGTTGACTGGACCTCACGTGATTTGTGTCACGTGAGAAGGTGACATGACGCACTAGGTGAGGTGAGAATGGTCTTAATGGTAAATTATTCAGTGCAGCCTAGGTTACTCTCTGTCACCTCGGGGTAAACTGGCCACCCACATGTTGGTGCGCCCGTATTAGTAAGTGTGTAAAATTAACATATTTAGGAACAACCCTAACAAGGCCAAAAACTCGTTTTATCATAGTCATAAAACAGCTAAACGAAATATCTAATTCAACGTTACGGTTTATCATTTGCTTATGTACTTTCTTTTCTAAACGACGATCTCCTGGGTCAATGAGTTCGTTTCCCCTTCCTTCACTCTATTTTTCTCCCACCCTCTCGACTCACTATCCCCCACGCCCTCTCCCACTCTGGTCGTACTCTTTTGATCTCGTGATTCAGCTATCTACTTCTTTTGTCGAGCCGTCATCATCCATACCTCGGAAGTATAAAGAGTTACCCGGTGTGAGAGGTCACGGCGCATTGATACATTCAACCGCATTACATATTCTTTGATCGGGGTACTTAAGATATACTGACGGTGTTGTCTGCGGTCTGGCGTGGTGCCCGGAGTACGTTCACGGCTTGCCCGGGCCACGGCACGAGCGCGTGAGGATAAGAGGGTTGGTTAACAGCTGAAAATAATTCAATAACCTCATCTCTTTCTTATTATAATCATCCGAGGACCTTGAATAATGCAGTTTAGAACTTTTGGGTAAGATATGAGAAGAATTTTGTAATACTATATTTTTAATCGGTATGTTGTTATAGTGTAGAGTTCGGTTTTCGATTTCACAATAAAATCACCCGTCTGTTAAATTTCCAACGTAAATTAATGCATTGGATGGCACGGAGAAGATACAATTTAGGGCGGTTCAAAACGTTCGTATTAACCAGGGAGAATAGAAGACTGTAGATTATCTCTGTATTAACGTAACACCTGTTAGTAGTTCATGGCATCAATATGTTGAATTCTCTTGTTGTCTTCTAATTGTCCATATTACATATTTCTTGCCTGAATACTTCACAACGGATCACCACAGTAACAAAATATCGAGATATAGACAGTTTCCAGAATTAGTGGGAGAGATTGTAGTAGTGTAGGGATTGTTATTATCCACTTATAGGCTTATTGAAGACATTCCCAGAGATGTTCTAAGTGACCCCTGGCTTACACATATGTAAACAATAAGCACATGTTTCCACACATTTGTTCTGCTAAAATAAACAACGATAAAATATCATGTCACGGACGCGTAAACCTTTTAAAAATGTTAAAAAACCGTTAAAAGCAAACAATGAACATGCCTATCAAATCCCTGTAGAACCTGTGAACTGACGCACGTTGGACTACTGTACACACACATGTAACCTAAAACCGCCAGCAACCGTTTCGATGGTGCAGTTTACTTACTTTATTTCCGTGAAAAGAAGTATTTTAAAGAAACAAACAGGTTAACGCTGTTGTTTATATAAAATAGATAAATTTGAAACCAAAAAGTCAGCCGAATTCGAACGACCACCATCCTTCCACGCTTGCGTACAGACGTATGTGGGGGACCACCCAAATGAAAGACTTTGTGTGAACACATATTCCGTATTGAGTCGGAGCTATGGAGTGTGTAACACATGTTGTATGGCGCGGACTTCAGTAGACTATAGTTAATACCTCGGATAATCAGTGTAATTTGCTCATCTTTTCTCAGAACAGGTGTTGGTGTATTCCTAATGTAATCAGTTTCTGTTTAGTTCTGTATCACATACATAATATACAAGAGAATTTGTACAAAAAATATTCCTGTTAAGGTTCACACTTTTATTGCTCTTCTTCCTCTTATAGGTACGTGTTTTTGCATTTATTATTGGGTTTTTCGATGATTTATTGCTTCTTAGATTTAGATTGAGCGTCATTGAAGAAATTTTGCCAAATCTTGACTTAGAGATCTAAAAGTGACACCAGATTGACGAGGTGAGACACTCCACACCTGACGTATACACACTGCTAATTTGCCCCTATGTCTACATGCTTGCAGTGTTAACAATTTATCTTCACCATTTTCTTATATTTCAACTTAAATCTACCATACACGACATTGAATGATCTGTTCTGATATATACAGCATGTATAGCTTCTGATCGACGAGCCAGATGTGTGGAGGCGATCCCCCTCGCGATCCCCCCGCGCTTCCCCTATTACAGGTTTCCCCATGTGGAGACACTACCTGAGTAATCAAGGTCTCGTCTACCTGAGCGTCCGCACAGGTGTCACGCTTGGTGGGAACAGCGTGGGAACGAATCTCAGTCCACGGTTTTAGACGCACTACCATCTGCTGTCGCAAGCCTTTCCCGTCGACTTCCAGCGTTCGGTTGGCCCTTTTCTCTCCCCATAACAAAAGATCCACCGAGCGAATCGTCCCGATGGTATGCGATTCTTTTACGGTCAAAACATGTTCCTGGGTGACTAATGTAGACAGCTTTATGACCGATGTCCAATACACCTGATGATTGGGCTTTTTAAATGGCATTAAACCCAACCCCTTGTCGAGGAGCTGGGGAGAAGACGATACTTCCCACGCTGGGGGTGTAGGTGTAGGGGATTAGGGTAGGCGTTACCACTGCACAGGTACACTGTTTTATGCTGATGTAGGTATAAAAACACACCTGTGACATGTTTTTTCTTACACCTGACTAAACAACTGCAACTGAACCGCGCTTTAGCACCAAAGATCATGTGGAGGGTTTTATGTCTATAATAGAGATATACGACAGTGAAGCTGTTTTAGTATGTCCACAAAGGCTGACCCTGGTCTATACAAGTCAAGATCTGCAGTAAGGTTTTAAAAACATCTTCACTGACATTTGGACTGACTGAGTTTGGTTTTACGCCGCTTTTAGCAATATTCCAGCAATATCACGGCGGGGGACACCAGAAATGGGCTTCACTCAGTGTACCCATGTGGGGATTCGAACCCGGGTCTGCGGCGTGACGAGCCAACGCTTTAACCACAAGACTACCCCACCGCCCCCACTGAAATTTCGAAGAGGGAGGACATCATTGCTGAGCCAAAGACAAGCGTTTATGCAGAGATGATGGTTCGGAGGGGCACAATTTTCATTGTCATAATTCGGTTTGAATTGAATTCTGAAAATTCCCATTATTTAAGTTATATGACATTATATACACAAATTTATATTTTTGTATTGAATAACGTTCAAATAGACGTCTCTATCAGGAATGGCAGGATCCAAGTTACCTTCTGAGTCGCCAAATCTCTTCATGAATCGTTCATGGAGAACGTCAATATATTTAACAGCTTCTTCCACGATTGTCACCTGTAAAAGAAAAACATTGTGAGACAACATGAACGGGCCCACATGAACCTCCATTAATAAGGTTCATAACAATGCTTATCAAGGGCTGGTTTTACGGAGTGCATAAAGGACCGGGGTCACGTGACCGGTTTGTAGTTGTGTAAAGAGATAACCATGAAGGGCCAACACATTTAATGACACAAGTATCCGGTTCTCCCGGGATCTTAACGGGAACTCTGATCCCTAATCTGATTTACAGCCTAACACTTTAATTACCAGACTGTGTGGAGCTGAGATATTGTTACTAGGTAGATGTTTACACATAATTTTCATTTTGAGGAAGCAGAAAAATAATTATTTTTTTATAATTACTTGTATTAACTCTTCCGTATTTTCCCCCTCTAATGACCCGACTGAAGGCTTATATCACGAAGGAGCATATTATCAAAATGTATACTTATGCATAACACGAAATCAGCGTATCTAAGGTACACTCAGTTCAAACCATCTCCAGTCATGCAGGGTTCAGTATACAATAATGCACCCAATATATAGGAACCTATTTATATATTACCCTGGAAAAAGGGATGTTTATATGAAGTAACAAAAACCTTGATTTATGATCTGTTGGAATAGAACGACTGACAGAAAATGGAATTTCTGCATGTCCTAGATATGAACGTGGTTTCTATTTTGTTTCCGTCGTTGTTATATTGAGCACGACATATTAATTATCAACGTAATAAAGACACGGCGTAGCTCTGTTGAAATCTCTCACATAATGACACAGTCCCTGTAATTTCCTTATGCGTGAGGTTTGCGATCAGAAAACCATATTTTCATGATAGCATAACGAGAAGTCTAATCTACGGCTGTCAGCTAAATGAGTTATTATACCGCCCCCAAACACCCATGAAGTTGTCAACCGGTGTCAGTGTGTTGACAGTAACAGACGTTACTTCGCGGAATCCCGCTGACATAATTCCCAACGATAAACATACAGATCACCTATATCCGCCAATATAGCAGATGATATCTTTAGAGATCGGACTTTGCCCTTAAGCTCTTCTGTGTCAGGACCAGGAAATAATGACTGGGCCCTAATAAGCAGCAGCTGGGTGGGTTTCGTTAACTATTGGGCACATTTGTCCGGCAACTAAGAATGCTTAGCACTAAGGACTGGCTTTGTAACGGGGGCCTATAAAACATATAATCACGACATTATTTATTTAATCACTTTTATCTTTTGTCGCAGTTTACCAGGGTTGGAGCGGATATTGGACTCGAATCAGATGGTTCGTTCACAGACGCATTGATCTGTCAAAACATAGTCCGCGGAGAGAACCTCACAGGGCGTCATCATATCGGTGGAGCTGAGTCGCCGGGCCCAGTCGGGGCACAAAGCCGGTCATAATTAACTTCGTAATTTCACGAAGGCCATCCCATGGAGACGTCACAAACACAGCACGCGCATGGTTTCCTTCATTGTCTTGTGTTGGCTTGACAAACCCTTCACCAGGGGGCGCCAAGAAGCACTGATTGTCTTCTTAGCTGTCACGCGCATTGACACCGCGCAGCAGACGACATTTCGTTTGATTAAGAAGACGAATGTCCGCACCTTCATCTCGGAAACGAAATATTGCCCCGACTTATATTTGCTCGCCCTTACTTGCTGGATCTGACACATGACTGGATTAGGATTGCATAAATTAACATCGACTATCATTTGTTAACACAATCTCTACTGGATGAGATACGGGATAGGGGTATATATGAGCAACTCACTTCTGAGCTATTTTGAAAACTGACCATTTAATTGTAATGATTAGAGACTAAAACACGCTCGGGAAATACCCTCCTCGGGTGACCCGTATGTAATTTCCCGAACGCCGTTGTGGAGCATGCGCAGATTTCATCAATAATCCCCAATCAACACATGTTAGGTCGCCTCTTGCTACCCTTCACTCTGATACCTTAAAGTCTGTTTCGGGTTTTAATAAATCCCAATTAGATTAGATTTCCTTATTAATTTCTATTTTACAACCAGTAATTTGAACACTGCGAGACGATGATAATCCTTTAAGTCACCTATTCTTTTCTCTAGTTGATTGTGGCACACATATTTCATTTACACGGTGGTACTTCTTGTACCGTGCCTGACGTACGGCGTAAGGGGCCGCGACATTTGATCGCAGTAGACTAGTACTATAAAACTAACTAACATTAGTCACACGTACACACACACGCTCACGCACAAACGTAGTTATAATCTTGAGTGCATTAATCTTCAAAGCGGCGTTTAAGGATACTATTTCACCTGCTCTGATCCCCGACAAACTTCATGGGTTCAATAATCCCTTTACCCACTCAGCAGAACTGAAGAACTTAGTAGCATTAAAATGAAACCATCATACACCTCGACCGAGACTTTGGCGACGTCATGACGAAACAATAATCCTCAGAATCAGTAAGTTGGGTTGTTCGCCTCGATACACAGTATTCAAGCGACGGGGACACCAGCAATGGACTCACACATAGTAGCTATGTGAAGAATCGAACCGGGCCTTCTGCGTTATGAGCCAACGCTTCAACCACTAGACCATCACATCACGGTCAAAACAGGCCAGGCAGGTCAAAACAGACCCGAACAATGTCCGGGGTTATATCTAAACATGTTAGCGACAAGAGACTGGTCGTCAGAATACAGCACACTCCACCCACTACACACGAGCCACCGTTATCCGCTTTAGTATAGCTATTACCGCCACTATCAATATAGGTTTCATGACCACGTCCCCGCCCTTGTAACAGTGATTCTGCAGACAAATCTCAGAACGCCTATGGTAAACGTAATACATGCAACCTCAAACATCGCTACACAAATCATTTCTTATCATCCGCGTTGAAGTTCTGTAATGTAGGAAAGTCTCACAGATTCATCTTTACTATATAAACTAATATATTTCTATAATCAGTACCTTTGATACTTTCTGCTGCTCTGCTACAGATGGGACCATCGCTCTGAGCCTTGTATAAGCCTTATTTCTCTGCCATCGTCTGTATCGCCGCACACACCTCCTGGCGTACACGCAGCTGTTGGAGCCGTGGGAAATCGCCTTCATTGCAGAGATCTGTGAAAGACAATTTACTCATTAAACAGGACAGAGCTGCGCGGTTCCCACTGCTGCTGGATGGGGCTGATTCAACTTCTGTGCCTTCCCATACTCTGTATTATTTGCCATGGGAATATTGGACACGGAACATATTTCGGTAAACTCAAATTCATTAAGGGCAAGTCTATCGATAAAAAATAATTATTATTTCATTATGAACGTTTTTTGTTCTTGTATTGTGGCAATAAATGGACTTCTTAGTGTGAAAGCCCATGGACAGAAATTCTGCAAAAGTTCAGATATGAATAAAACGGATGTTTTATCAGATGAAATATTAAGCATATGCTGTCGAAATTCAAAGTAATCAAAAGCGTCATGTTGTTGAAGTGGAAGCAGACCGCCATTGTACTATTTCTTCATAATATCCAATTGATTAAGATCAGAACAGGCGGGAGAACAGATACCGTTTCCGTGTATTGTATGTTCATTCTGTTTCCTTACTTAGCCAAAACAGTAACGTTGTATGTTTTCCCAAGTACACTCCAAATGTTTGAAGAGGAGGTATTTCACTGTCGGTCTTCATCTCAGTGACATGAGAAGATTGTTGAGCAAACTGTAGACAAGTCTCAAAGTCACCCAGACCAGTTTCTAAACGTCGCCTCTTTGTGGTGAGTAATCTGAACAAGTCTCCAAGTCTAGTATTTGATCCGTCCATCATCCATACATTCACATATATACAAACTGAGGATCTAGCAACCGAGAGAGAAGGTCGAGTTTCGACAATGATCACACAATGGGGAGACAGTTCAAGAATATCAGTGACAGGGCCCATACATAGTTCACTGTACTTGTACATCGTTCTTTTACTAATGCACGATCTTGTTCCCAGTCCCGGACAAGCCAGACACTGTAGAGAGAGACTTGTCTATATCGCTCTCGATCTGACAGTCGATGACTAAGGCTCTCTGAATGAGAGGTATACGTGAAAGGGGGCTACCTTTGAAAAGGTTGAAAAGCGATAGACGGAAATTATCGCCTTGTCGCAGTGACTAAATGACATTGGGTGATGTGCTGTGAAGGCGGGTTTAGTGGTGTATGACTTGACTGAAAAGTGGTTTGCGGCCAGTTATTGCAGAAAGAATCGCTGAATGCAATTTCATCGTGAAGTGTTATGTGTTCAAGGTGTTCAATACAACAAATGCTGTATCGAGACGAATAAACAAATGCATCTGCATCTGACTATGTTTAAACTCCTCTTAATGCAGTGGCCGTGTTAATCATAAAAATATTCATAAAATCAAGGAAGAAGTCCGTGACACATGACAATTAATCTACAGCCAAATACAAACCTTTTGAAATAGACATCACCTAAGGTGATATCAGAATTAAAGTAAACAAAAAATTAATTAAGAGTATGCAACGGAGCTCGAGTACTGACGACATCTCTGGTGGTCTAGCGCTACAGTTCCAGGATGTAACAGACAGGGTGCAATTATCGCCGAAGTGGTCACGTACGAACATGTCATATACGACACAACAACAGCGATAAAATAATACATTTGTACATAAACAACTAATAATATTTGCTCTTATGACTACAGTAAGTGAGTAATTCGAGCATGAAGCAGTCACTATTAAACTGAATCAAATGTCTCCCTTACCTGAAGTGATGGGTAAACAAGTCCGTTCTAGTGATTTTCGTAAATACTCTTCGACTACTGTCAGTCCTTATAAATAATTGACAACACGACCGGCACCTTTATACCTGTCCGGTTAACACACACTCCGCCGAAACGAAGTAGTTCCTTGATGTAAATCGATAAGATGTTTTGTTTGATGGTGCATGAGGGAAGTCATCGACATGGATTCACTTCAGGAACCACAATGAACACATATTTTGCTCGATTATAGATTTCTATAGGTTTTGATATGCATCTAGTTTTTAAAAGTTAGACTGGTGACATTTGTCGAGTTTCATGTATTCATGCGTGGGAAATTTTGCGCTGAGAACTACTTTCTCCATTCACACACAGGCTGTGAATGGGCACGCTGGCGACACGCTTCGTATCTCGCGAGGGCCAGCTGACGCGAGACCAGCGCGAGGCGGCACGCTAGGAAACCAAGTACTAGGTGTAGGCCGGGTCCCCTTTAGTTCATACGGAGCCTCCGAAGGGAACGGGTGCCTTCAAGGTTGATATAAAATCTCAAGCCCTTTATCTCACACCGGAAACAACTCGTCCGATTGACAGGTGGCGAGTAGGCAAATTTTACGCACGTGGTCGATTGCCCAGGCTCAGTTTTCGGGGATTCAACAAATAGACGGTTTGTGAATGATTCTACGTGGATTCAAGTGAATGAAACTGAACAATGTGGACTTTTATTCATAAGCTTTCATGTATTTCCAATAAAGGATGATTGCACAATTTGATATCATCGCATCAAATTCTATACACACGCGAGCGTGAGAAAACATTTCAAGATAAGAACGTTTACTTTTTTTTCTATTCCTGATGCTGATACATCATTTAGACAGATGGTTCATGCCATACATCCTTCAGTTAAGGTTTCTTCTGTCCTCAGGGGAGCAAACATCCAGCACTCACACTGCCATAACACCATAAAGTGTAATGGTTTTCCTTGACCAGATTCTGTCTGTCTGTCTGTCGTCACTGACATCTTCAATTTATGCATTTTGTTTAACCTCCCCACCACCCTTCTGCATCCCTTTACCGGCCCTCCACCCCTCTGCATCCCTTTACTGGCCCACCACCCGTCTGCATCCCTTTACTGGCTCACCACCCCTCTCCGACCCCACCACCCCTCTCCAACCCTTTACTAGTCCACCACCCCTCTGCATCCCTTAACGGACCCTCCACCCTCTGCATCCCTTTTACCGGCCCACCACCCCTCTCCAACCCTTTACTGTCCCACCACCCTCTGCATCCCTTTACTGTCCCACCGCCCCTCTGCATCCCTTTACAGACCCACCACCCCTCTGCATCCCTTTACCGGCCCACCACCCGTCTCCATCCCTTTACTGGCCCACCACCCCTCTGCATCCCTTTACTGGCCCATCACCCCTCTGCATCCCTTTACTGGCCCACCACCGCTCTGCATCCCTTCAATGGCCCACCACCACTCTCCATCCTTTTACCGGCCCACCACCCGCTCTGCATCCCTTTACTGGCCCACCACCCCTCTGCATCCCTTTTACTGACCCACCACCCTCTGCATCCCTTTTTACTGACCCACCACCCCTCTGCATCCCTTTACAGACCCACCACCCTCTGCATCCCTTTTACAGACCCACCACCCCTCTGCATCCCTTTACTGGCCCACCACCTGTCTCCATCCCTTTACTGGCCCACCACCCTCTGCATCCCTTTTACTGGCCCATCACCCTCTGCATCCCTTTTACTGACCCACCACCCTCTGCATCCCTTTTACCGGCCCACCACCCCTCTGCATCCCTTTTACTGACCCACCACCCTCTGCATCCCTTTTACCGGCCCACCACCCTCTGCATCCCTTTCCTGACCCACCACCCTCTCTGCATCCCTTTACCGACCCACCACCCTCTGCATCCCTTTACCGACCCACCACCCTCTGCATCCCTTTACTGGCCCACCACCCTCTCTGCATCCACCACCCCCTCTGCATCCCTTTACTGACCCACCACCCCTCTGCATCCCTTTACCGACCCACCACCCCTCTGCATCCCTTTACCGACCAACCACCCCTCTGCATCCCTTTACCGGCCCACCACCACTCTGCACCCGTTTACTGTTCGACCGCCCTCTGGTGAAAAAGGAGTAAGCTCGGAAATTTCGTGTAAACAAGAACGTTGTATTCATCTACTCCTCATGCTATGTGTTTATCTGCTTCAGGAATAGGTATGAGCGTGAAGACATTACGTGAGGGGGTAACAGCGTCACCACTGCTCCTTTGAATGATCTCCACCCACTCCTGTGGGTGACCACAGTTACATCTATAACATCATGTGCAACAGTTACATCTATAACATCATGTACAACATTTACATCTATAACATCATGTACAACATTTACATCTATAACATCATGTACAACATTTACATCTATAACATCATGTACAACATTTACATCTATAACATCATGTACAACATTTACATCTATAACATCATGTACAACATTTACATCTATAACATCATGTACAACATTTACATCTATAACATCATGTACAACATTTACATCTATAACATCATATACAACATTTACATCATTTATTTACATCTATAACATCATGTACAACATTTACATCTATAACATCATCATTTACATCTATAACATCATGTACAACATTTACATCTATAACATCATATAACATCATATCATAACATCATGTACAACATTTACATCTATATCATGTACACATCATCTATAACATCATGTGCAACATTTACATCTATAACATCATGTACAACATTTACATCTATAACATCATGTACAACATTTACATCTATAACATCATGTACAACATTTACATCTATAACATCATGTAACATTACATCTATAACATTTACATCTATAACATCATGTACAACATTTACATCTATAACATCATGTACAACATTTACATCTATAACATCATATTTACAACATCATGTACAACATTTACATCTATAACATCATGTACAACATTTACATCTATAACATCATGTACAACATTTACATCTATAACATCATGTACAACATTTACATCTATAACATCATGTACAACATTTACATCTATAACATCATGTACAACATTTACATCATCATATAAACATTTATTTTTACATCTATAACATCATGTACAACATTTACATCTATAACATCATGTACAACATTTACATCTATAACATCATGTACAACATTTACATCTATAACATCATGTGCAACATTTACATCTATAACATCATGTACAACATTTACATCTATAACATCATGTACAACATTTACATCTATAACATCATATAACATTTACATCTATAACATCATACAACATTTACATCTATAACATCATGTACAACATTTACATCTATAATCATCATGTATAACATCATGTACAACATTTACATCTATAACATCATGTACAACATTTACATCTATAACATCATATACAACATTTACATCTATAACATCATGTATACAACATTTACATCTATAACATCATATACAACATTTACATCTATAACATCATGTACAACATTTACATCTATAACATCATGTACAACATTTACATCTATAACATCATGTACAACATTTACATCTATAACATCATGTTTTACATCTATAACATCATATAACATTTACATCATATCACAACATTTACATCTATAACATCATGTGTATATCTATAACATCATATACAACATTTACATCTATAACATCATATAACATTTACATCTATAACATCATATACAACATTTACATCTATAACATCATGTACAACATTTACATCTATAACATCATGTACAACATTTACATCTATAACATCATATACAACATTTACATCTATAACATCATGTACATCAACATTTACATCTATAACATCATGTACAACATTTACATCTATAACATCATGTACAACATTTACATCTATAACATCATGTGCAACATCATCATATGCAACATTTACATCTATAACATATATACAACATTTACATCTATAACATCATGTATATCATCATTTACATCTATTACATCATATAACAACATGTATACATCATATAAACATTTACATATAACATACATCATTTTTACATCTATAACATCATGTATACAACATTTACATCTATAACATCATACAACATTTACATCTATAACATCATGTACAACATTTACATCTAACATCATAACATCTATATATATCATCATATACATCATATACACATTTATCATCTATATCATCATATACAACATTTACATCTATAACATCATATATTTACATCTACATTTACATCATTTTTACATATAACATCATGTACAACATTTATCATCATATAACATCATATATCATCTATAACATCATCTACAACAACATTTACATCTATAACATCATGTATATCATCATATATGTATATCATCATATACAACATTTACATCTATAGCAGCATGTATATCATCATATACAACATTTACATCTATAACATCATGTATATCATCATATACAACATTTTTACATCATTTACATCTATAACATCATGTACAACATTTACATCTATAACATCACATGTATACAACATTTACATCTATAACATCATGTATATCATCATATACAACATTTACATCTATAACATCATGTATATCATCATATACAACATTTACATCTATAACATCATGTATATCATCATATACAACATTTACATCTATAACATCATGTATATCATCATATACAACATTTACATCTATAACATCATGTATATCATCATATACACCATTTATATCTATAACATCATGTATATCATCATATACATGTACACCATTTACATCTATAACATCATGTATATCATCATATACAACATTTACATCTATAACATCGTATGCAACATCACATACAGCAACAGTTGCATTTATAACATCATATACTACAACAGTTACATCTTCGACAACACCAGTATCATCTACGAAACCGTACACAGCGGTTACATGCACTTAACGAGAACAAGAGCAGGTTTCCGCTACAGAACAACACGTGATTCGACGAAGGAGTGGGAAACATTATCGGCTGCCCC